CACTTCCACACTCAGAGGCTTTATGATGTCAGCAGAACAACTGATCTACCACATCAATCTAATGTCATCTTCTACAGTTACCCATAAATTATTTATAACAAAAGTTAAGTTTCTATGCTTGGTATATAGGCTAATCATTATCTGGTTGTTATAGTACTACAGACTCATACCCTCTTGTCATGGTATTTTAACAATACAATTTTCCTAGAGCTCTTTAAATATGACACATTCTACTTGTCTTTACTTACTTGAAATTTGGTTCTTCATTCAAGGATTCACCTTCCACTTTGGGTGTCTCAAAAATGTCTCATAATTTGTTCAAATCTGGTTTTTGAGACAAACTCAGTTCCTACTACACATTTAAGAAATTTATTGCCGCATCCTCATATTGCATTCAAAAACTGAAACCTAAATCTCATCAGAGGATGCATCTGATACATGCAGCTTGATTGAAGTCAACCCTTGACTGCTTCACATCCATCTTCGTCATGGGATGGAAAGGCAGATAAGCCAGTAGGTCAGTAGTTCTCCACTTTCCTAATGCCGCAACCCTTTCATACAGTTCCTCATGTTGTGGTGACCCCCAACCATAAAATTATTTCCATTGATACTTCATAACTGTAATTTTGCTACAGTTATGAATCATAATGTAAATATCTGATAGGCAGGATATATTTTCATTGTTACAAATTGAACATAATTAAAGCATAGTGATTAATCACAAAACAATATGGAATTATATATTGTGAAATATTATGTTTTTCCATGGTCTTAGATGATCCCTGTGAAAAAGGGTCATTTGAGCCCCCAAAGGGGTCGCGACCCACAGGTTGAGAACCACTGAAGTAGTTAGTGTCCATGCTGACCACTATCAAGAAACAGAGCCAGGAGCAAAGTTGATCCCTGCAAACCGAGATTCATGCTCCCGGCATATGCAGGAACTGGGCAACATGAATGCCAAGATGCATGGAGATCTGCTAGGACAATGACCTTCCCCACCTCCTTCTACATGAGAAACGCAACCACTACAGCCCTGCCCTACATTTCTGCTTCCTACCACTAGCATTATGAGACAATAAACATCAGTTGTTAAAGCCATCTAGTCTTGGTATTTATTTCTCCTGTAGTAACACTACAAAACCTAAGAACACCTACTTTTGTTGGTGGAGATAGCTACCATAGAACCAGATCCAACCAGTGATCCTCTTCAAAACACTGCACCGTGCAATGCTGTCATCGGTCTTTTGGTGCCAGATGGCCACCGTAGGACCATCAGGGCGGAGTGTATCCTGTCAATCAGGTTGCAGCTTGAGTGGAGGGTAACTGAGATAGCACAGGGAGTGTATTTGGGTTTTGTTCATGAGCATTAGGTTTCTTTTGTCTGATACCGTGGCTATTTGCAGGTGGAGAGGACAGAAGGCATCGGTTTTACCCATGTCAACCCTTACTGGCTTCACAAAGGTGTTCTACAAGACATGGACAGAAAGAGAGGCTACCAACCAGTATGCTGAGCTTCCTCGGGAGAGGACCAGCAGGAGCGAGGCATGTCCTTGGAACCCAACATCCCCGCCTTGGGAACCTTCTGGATTTAGGGGAACATGGATGTCAAGGCACATGGAGATTTCCGAGGAATTCAGGAACCCAGATTTTTAAAAGTCCAATCCCTTCACCTACAGATAGCCAATGCAAACCTTTTTTTAACAGCCATACCTACATATCTGTAAACTAGGACACCTATCTTAAGAAAGAACAAATTTCTCTTTGTAAGACAAAAAAAAAAAAAAGCCCAAATCTTATTTTTAAGGCCAGTCATTTGATTACATCTCTATTTCAGATCTATTATATTATTTACCTTGTAAATAATATACCCCTATCTCAAGCCTTTGAAAATTGTAGCACATTTTCCGGTAGTATTCTCTACACCCCAATTCATTCCAGCATCCTAAAGAAATTATTTCAACATCCATACAAGCAAATCAAAGAACAAATTTTCCTCTTAACTCTGTTTTTAATATACAATGTCTTTTCTGTAGTCTGCCTAGGTCATCCATTCGCCTAGAAAGTTGTGGATATAGGTGGATTGCAAGAAATGTTCTTTCTTAATCTACACAATGACAGTCCCTGTTAGTTACCATTGAGGACATTAACATGATCACATCATGTATTTATTATTTAATAAAATAGCTTTATTTTCAAAACTTTTGATTCAAAAGCCCCTCAATACTGACCACATTAATAAAAAATCATCTTAATCCAAATTATAAGCATGCCTTGTATGGAGTACTGCAAAAGATTCTTACATAGTCTGGATCCCTGTTTTCCAAGATTTATAAAATATAATTATGACCATGTACCTCTTCTGTTTAAATTTGCTTGCTGTTTTTTATTGCTTTCAAGTTAAATTCAAAACCCTATGGCAAGAGTCACAAAGGCCTAAGTTTCTCTACTGTCTTGGAATTTATTCTGTTCTCTGAGCATAGAGTTCTTCCGGGTGCTGCAGTAAGATGTTGTTGTCCTGCATTTCAGAGGTTTTATATATTTTATTTCTGTTGGCTAGAGTATTACATCTTCACAATCTCATTAATTTATTATATATCTATACCATATATATCACCTATATCTATATCTGTCACTCAGATCCTCAAATTAAATTCTACTTTTCATACACTTAAACTGCATAATATGTGTTTGCTTTATATTTGCGTAACAGTAAGACAGACCAGTAAGAAGGACATCAGGTTTGGCAAAGTGAAGGGGCAGCAAAAACCAGGAAGGCCCTCAAGGCGCTGGAGTGAAAGAATGGCTCTAACAAGGGCCCGGCAGAGGGACAATGATGAGGATGGCCCAGGATGGGGTGTTGTTTCCTTCTGTTGTGCATAAGGCAGCTATGGGTTGATGGCAACTAACAACAGAACCCTCTTTTATTCACAGCATGTACCACAGTTTACAATTGTGTACTTTGTTGTCATCAGTGTCTACATTGGAATAAATAGTACATCCTGTGAGCAATTTCCAGGACCTTATCAGTTTTCCTTACCATTCCTTATTACTGCATTACCAAAATTAATTACAATATCTAACTTTAAAAATATCTATCAAATAAGTGAACGAGTTAAATAACTGTTTTCTGTGCTGTTCACGATGCCTGTGGTGCTTTTGTATATATCCACTTAAATTTTGGCTTTCTGGTTTCCTCTTCAGGGTTCATGTCATACCTCTCTCTTTATTTTACCTATTGGTTAAGACTACCATTGTTTGAATTCCTTTATAAATTAATACTGTTTTATCTTATTATCCCAAGCAGCTGCTAGGTCAGTAGCTCAAAACCACCAGGTGGTCCATGGGGGGGAAAAAGAAAGTTTCTACTCATGTAAAGATTAGTCTCAGAGTCCCACAGGGTCAGTTCTACTCTGTCCTATCAGGTGGCTATGAGTTGGGAACAACTTGATAACAGTGAGTTTGGTTTTTGAATTGATCAAAAGAACAAACCATTTGCTGTTTATTTACTTAATAGTAATTGTTTAATTTAGTCTGGCATAAAATTGTTCTTCCTGTGTTGCACCCATTCATATATACATCCAACCCACTAAACAGACAAACAAGAAAAAGTTATAATACATAAAGGTTGCTTGACTCAATGTTTATACTGATGTTTGAGGGAAATTTAAAATCTTCAGCAGGTTAACTGAATATTGTGTTTTACAGCTGTAATATGTAGAATGGTCATATGAATAACTGTAGAGGTTGGAAGTGACCCTGATTGTTTGAATCTGTAAATTTCCTGGGTGATTAATAGTCAAAATGTTCTTTTTCATTCAATTTATTTTTCTAGCATTGAGATATATCTAGAGAATTATTGACTGGAAATATGGATTCTCTTTTTGTCTCTCCAGAGAGAGTTTATTTTGGTGGATAAACGCACATACTTTGATGTAGCGTTATTCAAAAACAATCTAGGATCACAATTCTGTGATTCCCTAGAATCCATTTGTAAGATTATGTAGGGAAACTGGACTGGATGTTTAGTAGAATCTCTCAGCAGTGGTACTTACAGGAAAAATTCTACAAGAGCTTTGTCTCTTTCATATTTTAAACCTTTTAAAACACAACTATCTCCTTACTTTTTGTCTTCTTTTTGTTTTGCTGTGACTTTCCCCCACCTTCCCCCTATGTCCCTGTAATGCTCACAGTTATTATCCAGCAAGAGATTCTTAGTGCACTAAACAGAAGGAAGATTTTGAGTACATATATTTGTGGTTTTTAAAAAATCATCTAATATATGTAAATATATACAAAGTGCTGGGTTATGTCAGTAAATTGGAGGGGGAACTGCTTTTTTGCTGATAAAATATTAAAAATGAGAAAAGGAATGAAAATAATAAAAAATCCTTTATTTTAGAAATTTATATTTGTACTTGTTATTTGTTAGATGCCTAAAGACATTTGTAACAAATATAAGTCAAGAGCAACTAGAAATGGGTAAAGTAATCATTCTTAAGGTTTTCATGTTTAAATGTTGAATCACTCCTATAGTTATTTTTTTGGCTAAAACTTATGTCTATGTATGTCTCTTCTCTGAATATTCTCTATATCAGGTGATGTACACAATTTCAAGATTTCATTATTTGCATGTTCAGTGCACTTATATGTCAAAAAATATCACATTTTTAGTTAAAGACATCAATTTGAGTTAAGAAAGTTCACATATAATCTCATTCAATTAAAAATTGGCATACTCAAAATGGTTTAAAAAAAAACAGCCTATTTTTAAATTGTGCTTATATTTTCCATATTAATATTTTAGAGGATTTTCTGTAAAGTAAGAACATTTTGAACAGAGTAATACCATACCTAAACAGGAGCTGTTCCTGTGGTTATTATTTTATGTAGCTACCTCAGAATGGTAGAATTTGTGGTTTCCCTCATCAGTTCATTGACTCAGATGAGTGTATTAGATCAAGAAGAGAATGTACAATTAAGAGTCATGTGAAATGTCCTACCACACATATCAGGAGCTTCATCAGAGTTGTCTCCACAGTCGTCTTCTCCATCACACACCCAGGCTTGTAGTTTGCAGAGGGAGTTATTGCAGGGAAACTCATCTGCTCTACATATATTTCCTCCTTTAATTAATAACAATAGAGAGAAACTCATCATAATGAATGTTAGTCATTAGGATGTATATTAATCTAATACATAGTATCAATGATTTCTTCCTTTGAAAAAAGAATTATCTTTTTGAATAATTACTTTCATTGGCTTGCTTTCCACTCATAACAGCCACATGTGGTCACAATGGAATTGGGCCTATGCTCCATAAGGTGCGCAGGGATTGATTTTTTAAAGAATAAATTATCAGGCATTCCTTCCCAGGTACCTCTGAGTAGACTCAAACTGCTAATATTCTGGTTACCAGGTGGGTTTGTAAACTTGTTAAACTACCCAGTAATCCCTGTATTACATTAGGAGCAAGTAATATTCAATTTAAAGATGTCATTCCTTTACATTTCAAGCAACTTTCCTATTACCCTCATCTATATATGTCATATTATCTAAAGATTAAAAGTATTTCAGAATATATATTTCCCCAAATCATAATTATTGTCATCCATTACATATAATTTGTGTAATATTGGCCATAAAGGAATTTAAATTTATATTTTAAAGAACATTAAATTTTCTTACTAATGCATATGTTTGGCAAAACAGATTTTTCCCTCTAAAATTAATAAGTAATGGGTGAAATATGTGATACTGAAGATAGAAACTAGAAAACAATTTGTGCTGTATACATATTCAATGTATAATGACAATTGGAAATAATGTAGTCAGAAAATTTCCCTGTTCTCCACAAAAAATCATGCCACAGCCATGAATTTTAAAATTTTTAAACAGGTTTGCTTCTTTATTTTTCCTTTTCTTATACATACACAAAATAAATTATCAGGAAGACAAAAATACTATAATTTAGACTGATTAATTACATTTAATATGTATAAAATATCCTAATTTTGTAATATCATTTTGATTATATGCCTAGAGATGCAGCAATATGTAGCACAAAATCTAATGAGAGCTTTGTACTGTTTATTCATCTTGTTTTTGAAGTCAGTTAATTTCTGTGAGTTTTGATATCCCTCACTGACCCATTGAGCTACAAGGGACAACACTGGAGGCACAGCGTGGCAATTGTGCCTGATCTGACCCCACCCCACCAAAGCAAAATGCTAAGGGCGTGCAATAGAGCAGCAAGGGGAGCAAAGTAATGAAGTCCCCCGGTAATACCAAAAATAGATTTTGGGGCCAGAGCATGGCACCCCATCAGATTGAACTAGGAAACATTCCTAAAGGTCAGCAAACAGATCTGGGACTATTTATAATCTTTCCTTTTTGTTGTTATTGGGTGTTTTGTTGTTGTTTTGCTTTTTTGTTTTCTTTTGTTGTTTGGTTTTGCTCTGTCTTGTTTATTGCTTGCTATTATCTCTGTATGTCTAGCTAGATAAGATAGGTGGGATAAACAATCTGGAGGAGAAAACAACAGGAGCAATGGTTCCCGGGGGGTTGTTGTGGGGGACACAGGAGAGAAGGAAGTGGGGGAAAGGAAGTGGATGTGA